CTGGAACTAATAAATGATCATAGCCAAGTTATAAGATAATCTCATGTAAAAGTCAGTCCCTTTTGTATATACCTACAACAAATAAGTGGAATTTGAAATTAAAAGACATTATCATTTACATAAATATTCCCAAAATAAAATGGTTTGGCAAAAATCCAATGAACTATGTATAATATCTAAAGGAAAACCACAAAACTCTGAAGAAATAATAATAATTATAATAATGATAATGAAGAAATACAGACTGGGGATGCAGCTCAATTGGTAGAGAACTTGCTTGGCATGCAAGAAACCCTGGTTTTGATCCCCAGCACCACAAAAATCATCATCACCATCATCATCATCATCGAGACATTCTATGTTCATGATTAGAAAAACAACATTGTTATGATGTTAATTGTTCTTAACTTGATTTATGGATGATGCAATTCCAAACAAAAGTGTCAGCAATTTATTTTGTGGACATCAGTTAACTGATTATAAGGTTAAATGGAGAGAAAAAAAGACCAAAATAACCAAAATATTTTTGAAGATGATAAAAGTTGGAGAACTGATATTACCCACCTTCAAGACTTACTATAAAGCTAAAGGAATCAAAATAGTTTGATACTGATAAAAGATTACATAAATAAATGAAACAGAAGGGAGTCCAGAAGCAGACCTACATAAAGATAGCAGATATTTGACAAAAGAGCAAAGGCAATACAATATAGCAAAAACATAGTCTTTTCAAGAAATAGTATCAGAATAACTGGACATTTACAGGCAAAAAAATATTAATATAGACATGGATCTTATACCCTTCACAAAAATTAATCTCAAATAGGTTCTAAAACTTAATATAAAATGCAAACTATAAAATTCCTAGTACACAGCCAATACATTTTGATCTGAATGTCTCCCAAAGGCCCATGTGTTGAAGGGTAATGCTTTAGGAGGTGTGGCCTTGTGGAAAGTCTTTACATTACTGGAGATGCCCTCAAAGAAGTTTGTGGGACCTTGGCCATTTTCTTTTTCCATTTCTTTTGCTTCCAGGCCATAAGGCAAGTACTTTACTCTAGAACATGTTCCCTGTCATTGTTCCTTCGGGTGCTAATGATATGTCAATGTGGATTAATCAATTACAACAAATGAACTATGTGTTGTGAGAATTTGAGTGAGGAGGCTGTGTGTGGTAACTTCAGAAAATATATGGGAGCTGTATGTACCTTCTACTCACTTTTCTGTGGACCCAGACCGTCTATTTTTTTAAAGTGGATAACACTAGCAAAAAAAGCTAGAGATAAGCACATCCACTCAAAAAGGTATCTCATTAAAGACCTAAAAGCAATGGGTCCACTTGATATCTACTGGGACCTCTAAAACTGTAAGCCAAAATTAAAAAAAAAAAAACAACTTTACTCCGTATAAGTTAACTATTTCAGGTATTTTGTTACAGTGACAGAAAGCTGACTAATACAATAAGAAGAAAATCTAGATGATCTTGAACATGGCAATGACATTTTAAATACAATATAAAGGCATGGTCCATGAAAGAAATGATAAACTCAACTTCAAATTTAAAAACATCTGCTCTGGAAAATACTCGCAATAAAAGAGAATAAAATCATGGCATTTGCAGGTAAATGGATGGCACTGGAGAAGATAATGCTAAGTGAAGTTAGCCAATGCCCCCCAAAACAAATGTCAAATGTTTTCTCTGATATAAGGAGGCTGACTAATAGTGGGGTAGGGAGGGAGAGCATGGGACGAATTGATGAATTCTAGATAGGGCAGAGGGGTGGGAGGCAAAGGGAGTGGGCAGGGGATTAGCAAGGATGGTGGAATGTGATAGACATCATCATTCAAAGTACATGTATGAAGACATGAATTGGTGTCAACATACTTTATATACAACCAGAGATATGAAAAATTGTGCTGTATACATGTAATAAGAATTGTAATGCATTCTGCTGTCATTTATGTTTTTTAAATTAATAAAAAAAGATAATGAAAAGACCTTCTGTAGAATGGAGAAAATGTTTACAAAATGCATACCTGATAAAGGGCTAGTATTCAAAATATGCTAAGAACCACTTATTTATTTATTTATTTAGGTACCAGGTATTTGACTCACAGGTACTTATTTATTTATTTTTATTTTGAAAGAGGGTCTTATTAAGTTGCTGAAGGATTCCCTACATTGCTGAGGCTGACCTTAAACTCGAGCTATTCCTGTCCTAGCTTCTCAAGCTGCTAAGATTATAGGTTTGCACCAGCATCCTCAGCTAAAAGTACTCTTAAAACTCTAAGAAAATGAACAATTTATTTAAAATTGTGCAAAAGATCTGAATAGATTCCTCACCAAAGAAAATATAAAGATGGCAAATAAACATATGAAGGGATATTCAACACTATATGTAATTAGGGAATTGTAAATTAAACAGCAAGAAAATGCTACATACCTATAAGAATGGCTAAAACCCCCCAAAAAACTGACAACACCAAATTATGGTGAAGATGTGAAAAAATAAGATCTCTCATTTATTGCTGATGGAAATGCAATGTGGTACAGCCACTTTAGAAAGCAGTATAATGATTTCTTATAAAACTAAGCATATTCTCATCATTTGATCAGGAATCATGCTTCTTGGCATTTTCCAAAAGGGACTGAAAACTTATGCTGACACAAAAACTTGTGCTTTAATGTTTACTGTATATTTATTCATATCTGACAAAACTTGGACTCAATTAAGATGTTCCTAAGAGATTGAATGATAAACTATAGTACATATAAGCAATGGAATATTATTCAGTACTAAAATTAAGTGAGCTATAAAAACCATGTAAAGACATGGAGGAAACATAAATGCATGTTACTATGTGAAAGAAGCCATATGAAAAGGCTACACACTTAAGTCTATATGACATTTTGGAAAAGGCAAAACTATGGAGATAGTAACAAAAGGATCAGTGATTGTTGAGAGTGGGATTAAAATACTATTATAAAAATACTATTATATTTTTTAAAATACTATTTTTTAAAAATACTATTATAATGAATGTTCCTATAAATAGGTTTCAAGCCCCACTAAAAGAATTACCAAGTTGGAGCAATAGTTAATTCAAGAACAACAACAAAAAAAGAGCAACTAAATCATGTAGACAGAACTTTGAAATTTGTTATAGTCTGATTGAATCTTATTTACATATTATTTAATGATCCTGCATATTTCAACAATGAAAGACTTGTATCAGACATCAGAGTGTGCCAATTTCTGTAGAGTACAAAGAATACGAGCTAAATATTAGTAGAATTATTTCTGTGTTAGAACAAGCAATTGTTAGGTGAAGAAATCCTCAAATTTGCTGGAATGAAATAAATGAGTTGTCTCTAAGGTACTCATCTTTTGTGAAATATCTTATTAATGGGTAATTATCTCTCAAAAGTACTTTGAACACATAAGAAGTCAAATTCTGTATCAGAATCCACACTGTATGCTAAGCAGACCAAAGGATTAAATTGATTATTTTAGAGATAGTGACTCTGAGTGAGCTCTGAGTTCCATAGTAAAGATGGAACTCCTAGATATCTGTTCATGTTCCCCAACTCTAGCCACCCGGAGGACAAAAATGAAAGTATTTCAGCTTATGGCTCCCAAGAATCATACTAAATTTTACAAATTCTGCATGCAGAAATCATCAAACTTTCATCAAGAAAATGAGCTACTACTAAAAAAATCAAACAAAAAATATGCCTCCTCAGGATCTTGGAATAGAAAATGCCAAAGGATATAAGGCAGAAATAGCCTGGCACACACCTTGGCCAAGATATATTTCCAAAACTTATTGTGAGAGCAAGTGTATTGTGAGTGGGAGATAGATGTAATATAACTTTAAAGTAAATGACTATATTACTTAAAGGTACTAATGGTTAAAAATGTTTCAAGGCCTATTGTAGTTAAACAAGATAACTGTATATAGTCTGTGCAAGACACAAAATTGTATTTGTGACAATAGAGTAAGTTCAACCTTTATTGCTAATAAACACAGACATTATATTTTCAGCATAAGGAATAAAATTGCATTTGTGGCAATAAATGTCTCTTCTCCTGGTTTCAGAATAAACCTGTGTGGTGTGCTTATCATTCTTTTTCCATTCTTTTCAAATCTACTTATTTTCTTTAAAACCTAAATTTAAGTGGTTGGGTTACATTTAAACTTTTTCTCAAGTAAAATATTTTCATATAAATTAATTGAAAATATACATAAAACTTTTCCAAAGGAGAAAATAATCACTATTTCTTTAAAATTTAGTCATCACTGAAGGCCAGATCCTCCCACAGAGCAATCTTTTTTAGAAATAAAGGTAATAAAGAAAGAAGGGGCCTTGTGAAACATAAAAATTATGATCACTAAGTTAAAAAAATTACAACATATTTAAGTTTATTGAAAATTATCATTTTTATGTGACAATCATACTCTTTTAGACTTAATATGTGTTATATCTATTATAATCTTTCTAATGAATTAGGTTAAGAAATAAACCATAACATTTATGATTCAAGAGAATTTTCTTTGAAATAGATTTTTGCTTAATTATAATAGTTCATCTTTTATTCCTGGCTTGAATTTACTTAAAAATAAAACATTTTCAAAATACTATGTTCTGAAAAAATATACATATCCAAGTAAAATTATCATATCAGAAGTAAGTTTTAAAGCTATGGTTTTTAATTTTGAATTATTTATATTGGTTTTGAAATATACAAGAAGACCTGCATAGATAAAAAGATAACCAGACGCATTAATTACAATCCCAGTTTTTAATAGAATATATTTTTGTCATCAAAAGTAGCTTCCAAGGACAAAATACATGCTTTAATTAATGCAAAATTATTTTCCAGCGGACACAGACATAGTATCTCCCTATAAAGATACAGAGATTTTAAAATGTGTAAAGATTTTAAATAAATAAATAAATCCTTCTTTGGGGTGGTAAAAACAAAAAACTCATATACCCTGCTTTGATAGGCAGCACATTTCCAGTCTTTGCTCATGAGAATATCCATAGAATAGATATGCTTCTTGAAGTGCACTTTTATACCACTTCTTTTTATTTGTACATTTTCCTGGCTAGAAAATAGAAAAAAGAATAAGATATATTTTTAAATATGTAATTTTATTTTAAAATCCAAACCTACCTATTGAGCTGGAAGTAAATCTACTTTGAGCATTGTATAATATATTACTCAGACTTTGGTCTGTGATTGTTGCTTTATGACTTAACAGTTTAGTGCAGTTGTAGGAATTTTGCAAGCTAATAGTCAAAAGGGTCAGATGCTTAGCTCTCTGAGCTTATATTATGATTCATCTTATATTTAGAATGTTTCTTAAACTTTTTGTGCCTGGTTATCTGGAAAATGTGAATATTAATAATATGTGCACCATAAACTTCCATGAAACTTATGTAATAGGTAATAGTTTTTTAGGATATAAGAACTAAAAAAGAATTGCAATGAAGGTATAGCACATTTTCTACATGCTTACTTAGTTCTTTAGAAAATGAAGAATCCATGGGTTAAAGCTGACTATAAATATTATCTAATCAAGTAATTTTTCCAAACTTTAAAGGTTTCCATGTTTTTTGTTACAATTTATAAAATTCATGCCACCTTTTTTTTTGGAAAATTTTACCATCATAAAAACATGGATATTCATTCATATTTGCCACCTGTGTATAAAGATCATAACTTTATCTCAGACATAGAACATAATTCACCCTTTACATAGAAATTTAAATTCCTATAGCATCCATATTCAATTTATAGAATGAAACTAAATATAAAGCTCTTCTCAAATGCCACCAATATTCTTGGAATCCCCAAATTAATATCAACTATCTACTCCTATTGCAATTATTATTTCATTTAATGGTGTTTTACATTATGATTTGTATTATAGCTATTTGTGCTCATGACTGTCACCATCATACAATGAACAACCTACAAAGATAAAGGAAATAAATAATATTTCATCTTTGTAACTTCTGCAGTACTCATTTGCTTAACACCTCATTGCATAATATAAAAGCATTCAGAAAGTGATTGCTACTTTTGTTTTGGATGTTGATTAATTTTATATAATTAATTAATTTTATATACAGTAAAACAATATTATCAAATAAAAGTACACCTTTGTACACAGGATCTACAAATTTCATTCATTAAGGTATTTCTTAGTAAAAAGATATAGGCAGATTCAATTTATTGAAACTGGAAATTTTAAATTACTTTTTAAGAATATCTAGCCAGGTACAGTGGCACAGACCTGTAATCCTAGTAGCTCAGGAGGCTGAGGCAGGAGGATTGAGAGTTCAAAGCTAGCCTCAGTAACTTATTGAGGCACTAAGCAACTCAATGAGACTCTGTCTCTAAAGGGCTGGGTGGGGATGTGGCTCAGTGGTTATGAGCCCCTAAGATCAATCTCTGGTACCCCCTCCCCCGCCCCACAAAAAAACCCAAAAAAACCCGATTATCTAAGCTAGCTTTTGCATATTTGAGGTACTTCTACAATTCCAATGTTTTCATGATTTTAAGTAAGAAATTATAGTGAAAAATCACCTAATGCTTACATGGCACTAAACAGTTGCTACTAGGTGGGTATGGTTCATATCTGTAATCCTAGACTTAGGAGGCTGAGTAAAAGGATTGCTGCCGCAGTCTGGCTGGGCACAAAATCATGAGCCACTCAAGCAGGAACAAACTTTATTTCCAAAACTCCCGCAAATGCCAGGCATGCGGCCTTCTCCTGGGACACACTACCAACAGGAAATCCCTCCTCTGGAATTCCCTCCTACCGCATTTCCCCAACCAATGGGAACTCTTCAGGAGTCCCAGAGCTCCAAAGTAGCAGTCCCAAAGTAGCAGTCCAAGGCGGACAGCAAGGGTCTAATCTCCAATTGAATGCACATCTTAACATAATCATTATCATCTCAATGGCTTGCTGGAGTCACCTTTCAACCAAAAATGCCATGTGTTGTTCCTACTTGGCTATGGCTCTCAGCAGACTTCAAGTTTAAGGCCAGCCTAGGCAAAGTAGGGAGACCCTCAAAAACTCAAGGAGACCCTGTCTCAAAAAAAAAAAAATAAGAAAGGAAGGAAGGAAGGAAGGAAGGAAGGAAGGAAGGAAAGAAGGCAGGCAGGCTTGGGATGTAAGCTCAGTTGGGTAAAGTGCTCCTTGGTGAGAAGGGGTGGGAGAGATGCTATACCTATGGGTATAGTATTAAAAAGTGTTTTTTTCCCCCTAAGAAAAATCAATGTGATATAGCCCAAATAAATTTGAGTGAGTTAAGGGAACTGAAAGCTTTGTTTAAAACTTCCCTGGGAACCTTTAAGAACATATTGGTTGATATGTGCCACCTAGTGGTAATACAAATGAACACTTTCAGGGAATTCAAAAAGTTCTATTTTATAAAGAATTTCGAATACCAGATTAGGCTCAACTGTGTATTTTAAATTTTTGAAGTAGGATTTTTTTTTTTTTAAATTCAAGAAGTCACTGGTTCAAATTCTAATAGTATATAATGTGCCTGCCTTCCCATCCTGGATACTGTTTATCACAAAGGCAAACATAATTAACAGATTCCTTTGTATTCTTCCGGAGATATTGTATGTATTTACAATCATTTAAATAATTTGTATGAACATACATTTTAGAAGGACATGAATATTTATATTTTTTAAAAATTTTCTTACAGATTGCTTATTGATTCAATATATGTTGTATATTCAAGGTCTCTCATTGAAAAAATGCATAAAACTTACATTCTAGTGTTGTGAGGACAAACAACCTACTACAAGCATAACAAATGAGTAAAAGCTATAAGAGGTGTTAAGTATTATGTAATAAAGACAAGACAAAACAAGAGTGATCACAAATGCTGAGGGATAAGCAATAGAGTGGTCAGGATAAATCACTGAAAAGGTAATATTTTAGTGAAGACTTGAAGGGGACTGGGGAGTTAGCTATTTAGCTATGCAAGGAAAGAGCATTTCAGGCAAAAAAAAAAATCCCCTATCGTTAATGCACATAAATCCAGTTTGAGTGGATGAATTACATAGAGGGAGAGTAATAGAGAATGATGTCAGAAAATTAGTAAGGGCCAAGTCATGGAGGTCCTTGTAGGCTGCTAGAAGGTCTTTGACTATTACTTTGAGCAAAGGAGATGTTATTGTAGTGTTATAATCAGAATAATAACATTTGATTTTGTCTAATGTTTTAAAATAATTATTCTCGTTGCATTGATGAGGATAGAGTGTACAGGTAAAAGTGGAGAAGCAGGACAGCTAGTTAGAAGTCACTGCAATAATCCAGGCAAGAAATGATGATGATGTGGATTAATGAAGTAGCAACTCCTGTGGTGAAAAGTGTTAGGATTCTGGATGTAATCTGACCAAAAGTAATTACTGGACCAACCAGAATCTAGTATGAAAGAAAGTGAGGAAGATTTTAGGGCTTTTAGGCTGACTGAGTAAAAGGTTGAAAACTGCTATACATTCAGATGGGGTAGGCTCAAAAAAGTGAGGAAGATGAGGAGTTTCGGCATGCCAAGTACAAGATGTCTCATAGTCATGTCCATAAGAAGGATAACTATGACATCCAAATGGAGATATCAAATATCAATTGGATAAGGAAATTCATGAGAGAGAATTAATATAAAATTTGGTAATCTCTTTCTCTACACACACATGGAGAAAGGGGGAGGGGAGAAAGAGAGAGAGGAAGAGAGAAACTGTCAGTACTTAAAGAATGACAACCAAAGGAATGAGGAAACAGATGTACACATACATGTACCCACATACAAGATACATAGGTACACTATTTGACAAATGTCCTAGTTTTTTGTTTGTTTTGATAACAGAGATTAAACCCAGGGATGCTTAACAACTGAGCCATGTCTCCAGCCCTTTTAATTTTTTTTTTTTTTTTGAAACAGGGTCTTGCTAAATTACTTAGGGCCTCACCAAGTTGCTGAGACTGGCTTTGAACTCGCAATCCTTCTGCCTCAGTCTCCCAAGTCACTGGGATTACAGATATGTCTCCACTGTGCCTGGGAACAATGCCCTAGTGATGAACATTTAGGGTGTTTCTAACATTAGGCAATTTGAAACAATGCTTCAATGAAAATTTTATCCATATGATATTTTGCCCATTTGAGAGTCTATTAAAGGATACATTTTTAGACATTAAGTAGCCATATTTAATGTATGCATATTTTAAATTTTAGAAGCTACTGTGAAATTACTCTTGAATGAGGAGGTTGCAATCTATGATGCCACATACAATATATTTCCTTACATCCTGGAGAATACTTCTGTTTCAAGTTTTTAGATATGTGGTACACTTTTTAAGGAAAAATAATAATTTCTTTCTGTGATCATTTTCATTTCTTTAATTTGGACAATTTTTCATTATTTTTAAAAGCAACTTATATTTTCCTTTCTAAGGAATAACTGTTCAAGTACTCCATTAAGATCTATAATGGTATTTTTCTTATTGATTTGTAAAAGATTTTTACACATTAAAGGGATTGGCCCTTTGCTTTAAATGTTACAATTATTTTCCTGTTTATAGTTTATCTTTTAGTACTTCTGATTTTTCTTTTGTACATTCAAACCTTTCATTTTTCTAGAACTAAATATGGATATATGTATGATTTATAATTCCAAATTCATTTTTCTCAAGAAAGCTATTTGTATCCACACCATTTACAAACAAAACCATTTTACTTTTTTCTTACTTATTTATTTAAGTATTTAAAGATGGGGGTCTAGCCACATAGCCCAGTCTGATGTCAAATTCCTGGGCTCAAGTAATCCTCCTACCTCAACCTCCTGAGTAGTTAGAACAATAGGCCCAAAATACTGGGCCCAGCTTTTACTAAATATGACCTTGCCCATAACTGTTCTTCCAAATACTTTTATTTGTAGACTACACTGTTCTATCAATCTGTCAAATCACTGTTAGTAAAAAAAAAAAAAATGTTTTAACTATTGAAGCTTTAAATCCAAGTCCTTGTCCATGCTAGGCAAGCACTCTACCACTGAATTCCAACCCTGGCACTTTTTAAATTT